CATGATATCTGATATTGCCATGAAGAAGGCTTGTGCCTTCAACCTCAACGAGCGCAACAGCATCCTTCATCGATTCCCGGAGCTGGCGTGTCATGCCACACGCCCGACGCAAGACTTCACAGAATCAACTTGATGTGGCGCCACATCCAACGGGCCACCGTCCCAACTATCGCCGCAGCATCGCTGCAGCCCAAGCTGTACACCGCTCCCCTGTGGGAACGACGGCACCGACTGCCATCTCGCAAATGCTTGTGATCGCCTTCATCCCAACACAAGGAGCAGGTGCCCCATTTCCACTTGCCATCATCCAAGATCGCGAAGCCAGCGAAGCTGTTTCCGTGCGGCGGCACCATGCTTTCAGCAATGGATTGGGCGGCAGCGCCCGTGCTGAAGCCGGAAACCGTGCCACTTGTAATGTCACCTCCGACATTAAAGTCTGTCGGCTTCACAGACTCCCACGCGAGGATGAGCTTGCCCGCATCACGGCCGAAGCCTGCACGCCATCTGCGACTTCCTTCTCTGTGGCTTTCCTCCTCCGAAGCAGGATCGCTACTGACAACATCCGAAACACTTGAACCAACGTGCGCAACTCCATCGTGGGTGAGCACAGTGCGGAGCTTGCGTGGGGCGGCGAGCACAGTACTCGCCGCCCCGCGCAAGCTCCGCACGGGGAGGTAGCCTCGGCCCCTGTGGTCGTAGCCGTTGCCGACTATGCCCGGGCGGAGGCATCTGCCGTGGCCCTCGCACGCCTTCTCAGCGATGTCGGCGAGGTCTTTCGTTCCGCATGCGCCGGGGCATGTCGAACCACTCCTCCAAATGTCGTTCGTATTCGATCTGAAAGTAACCTCGGCAGGCAGGGGGATGCTGGCTGAGTGATGTTTTAGGAGCGGCATCTCGCGGCAATGGAGGGGGTGCATGGGCGGGGTGCTTGGGGTGGGTAGGGTGGGGTGGGTATCATAACCCTGCACATCAACTCTCACCAAGGCTTCGCATCAACCCGTCGCAGCGTATCTTATCTCACCACGGAGCTTGTAAGGTTCGCTTGCCTTTGTCATCGTGAGTGCTTCAAGTGTGACGGCGAGCCGGCGATCAATGCGGCTGTTCCGACCCGATGTGGGGTGTGGGGTGTGGGGTGTGCGGTGTGGGGTGTGGGGTGT